GTCACTGGTGTGGACATTGTCATGAACCACCACTTGCAGGAAACCAGCTTCACAAAAGAGGCCTACAAGAAGTACATCAAAGACTACATGAAATCGTAAGTGGCTGTTCGAGAGGGCCTAGTTGATGGCTAGGATCTTGGAGGATTTAGGGATTGGCATGTTTAGTTCTAGTAGTAGAGACTCTCGGGGAAGGCATTTCTTTTTTTTTTTTTTTAACTCAGGCAAAGATTGTTGCTTTTTCGTAACATGAGTATACTGGAGCATGCCATCTGGTTTGATGTTTGGGATTATAGACGATTGTGTATTTATTTTTGTACTGGAAATCAACTCGGGACCTTGGGCTTGCCAGGCAGGTGCTGTGTGGCTTAGCTAGAACCCTGGCTGTAAACAATTTTTGAAAGATGCATTCTCCACACTAGTAATGTCTTAATTGTGCGATACTATTCTGCGCATTGACAGCTAGTTGGCCTTTAAAGTTGCAGCTTGAATTTTTTACTTAACTAAAAAAATTAATTTTGTTTAAAATCCAGTACTTTAGTAATCTGTTAACAAAATGCTGTTTTAGAATCAAAGGCAAACTTGAAGAACAAAGACCAGAAAGAGTAAAACCATTTATGACAGGGGCTGCAGAACAAATCAAGCACATCCTTGCTAATTTCAAAAACTATCAGGTAAATATTTGTTTTAATATTTAATATTTTGTATGAGAGTAGATTTTATTCTATAACAACGAAAGCTTTGTTTCTCTGTTAGTCTGTCATTAAATTGGCTTTATGGACTCAACTGGAGTCCATAGGATAAAGCAGTCTTCTCTTAAGATCTTGTTTTCTGATTTCTTTTTAATCTCTGCTGGCTTCTTAAATGACAGTTCTTCCTCTCAGATTGTTCAACCTCCATAGTAGCCCAACTTTGTTTACAATTCATTGTGTGTAGTTTCTTGCCACTGGTGTTTCTGCTACATCTGAGTTCGTTAGTCCTGTTACTGGGAAACTTCAGTGAGGTCTTATGTGTAAGATTTGATTTATTTATTTATTTATTTTCTAGCTGCATATCACAATCTTGCTTTTCAGATTTCTAGCTTTATTGTATGTCTTGGCTGTAAGATCAGTTCCCCATGTGACACTTTCTTAACAGCTTTATGTTCCCAGTGTTAGATAGGTAAGCAGGTAGGACTTGGGAATGTTTGTGTGTGGGATTGAGAAAACGAGAATTTGTAGAACACCTAAAGTCTTGCAGCATTGCACTGTACTATTTTGGTTGTTATTGGTGCTTTGATCAATCTGAACTGGTGTTTGAGCATTAAAAGCTTGTACTTGATGAAATGTCTTTTTTTGTGTGTGTGTTCTGATTCTTTGTTATGTTGCAGTTTGCTCTAAGATGATTCACATTTTTACATAATGGTCTAATTCTGAGTATTTGTTTCCCAAGTTCTTTATTGGTGCAAACATGAATCCAGACGGCATGGTTGCTCTCCTGGACTACCGTGAGGATGGTGTGACCCCATTTATGATTTTCTTTAAG